TTTTTTGTGCTTAATGTAATAAACCTTTCTTATGGGGCTTTTCTTGGACGAAAACAAAATTTTTGTTCTAATGTTTAAGATTAACTTCCTTGGGTTGGGATTATTATTTTTGTCTTTTTTTTGTTTTTTTCTTCTTCTTTTTTTTTAAATATATATACATATAATTTAAAAACACCATGCATCTTTAACCCATGTAACAAGCGTTCAGCTAATGACTCACAAACTAGTTGGTCATAGGGCATTAGTTGTTAAGACACCTCTATGAGTTTAGTAACTCGGGTCGCAAATACTGATATGTAGATAATGCAATGTTTGATTTCCTTAAGCTTTTCTCCTCAACCCATGTAACAAGCGTTGGGTCAATAGCTCCCAAGTCAGTTGACTTTAGGGTATTAGGTGTTAAAATACCCATTCGAGCTTAATTGCTTAGGTTAGGGAGGCTGCGAAACCAAACTTATCTACATTTTTATTATTATCATTTTTTTTTCTTTTTTTTCTTTTTTTTTAATTATATACAATCCCTTTCCCTTAGTTGTGACCTTTTACAAAAAAACATAAATAATGTAATAATTCAATATACAACCCACAATCATATGTTAAAGTGTGTGTGTGTGTAAATTAAGGTTTAAGAATACATGTTAAATAAGTATATGAGCAGAATTAAGTGATAATAATACGAGAGTTTGTAAACCTAAATATTTCAAGAAGTATTATAATAGACCTTGTTAGGAATGATTACTAAGATGCGTCTCATGAGTCACTTTAACAAAAGAGCTCCTTTACTCTGCTATCCTAGTAACAACAATTATGCACATGCTTTATGAAATGAAAAATAATTTTTTTTTTATCGACTACTACCCTCTCCCCCCAACCAAAACGAGACATTGTCCTCAATGTTTAAAGGTAGAAAGATAGAGTATAGAAGATATCACCTGAAATAACGAACACTGACAAACCTGAAACACACTGAAACAAAAATAAGAAATAACAAAACACAATAATAAAAACAAAAGACACAAAAATTCACAAATGAAGGCTCAAATCCAATCTAAGCTTTTTACGGCTTTCCTTAGTTGACCAAATTATACGACTCATGGAAGGATCGATTACAAGAATGAAGGATTGTAGTTGGTCAATTAATTGTTCAGCAGTAGCAGCAGAGATTATGATTTGTCGTGCAAAAGATGTTAGAAATTCCTGTTTCACAGTATGATCAAGAAAAGACAACAACTTATCATAATAACCATTAACATTTAA